CCCCCCCCCCTTCTTTCTGAACACTTTCGATCCATTTGGAATTTGTCCTGGTATATGGTGCAAGGTTTGGTTCCAGTTTTCTTTTTTTTCTTTTTCAATATATCTTTATTGATTTCAGGGAGAGGAAGGGAGGGAGAGAAATAGAAGCATCATTGATGAGAGAGTCATTGGTCAGCTGTCTCTTGCACCATCCCCACTGGGGATTGAGCCCACAACCCGGGCATGTGCCCTGACCAGGAATTGAACCTCAATCTCTTGGATCATAGGTCGATGCTCAACCACTGAGCCACAATGGCCAGGCTGGTTCCAGTTTTCTTTTTTCATATGGATATCCAGTTGTACCAGCAGTAGTTTAAAAGTCTATTTTTCCTTATTGATTTGAGATGCTTTTTTGTTTTGTTGTTAATAGATTTGTCTACTGGGTCTACTTAATATATTGTAATTGGGTCTATTTTTGGTCTATTCTGCTCCATTGATCTCTACTCATGAGCTATTACAACAACATTTTCATTATGTAGGCCTTATAATATATTTTAATACCTAATGAGGGTAGCTTTCTTCTTTTCAGCATGCTTTTTGTCCATTTTTTCTTATGTTTTTCTTCCAAATGTACTTTATAATCAACTTGTCTTGCTCTAATGAGAAAAACACCTAGTGGTGGTGTTTTTATGTGGACTTCATTAAATGCATGGATTAATTTGGGAGAGAACTGACGTTTTTATTATATTGAGTGTTTTTATCCAAGAAGATGGTATGCCTTTCCATTGGTTCAATCCTACTTTTCTGTCTTCTGTGACTATTTTATATAATTTTCCTCATATAGATTTTGGATATTTTTGTAAGTTTACATGTATGTATGTTACAGATTTATTTTTTTATATTGTGTTATATCTTCTCTCTTGATTTTATTTATATCTATGAAGATACTGAATTTTGTACACTAATTTTTAACCTGTTACTTTACTAATTCATCTCATTGTTCCTAGTAATTTTGCCATTGATTAGTTTGGGTTTTCTAGATATATGACCCTATAAGATGAAAAATTAAAATTTTCTGTACCTTTCCATAGACCACAGAATTTTTCTAAATTACTATACATCAGCAGTTCAGGTGTGTTTCTGGAGGTCATACTTAGCCTCTGTATTTTTATATTGTAGATGTCTCAGTTTGTTGTGTGCTGTTACCTGTGTAAACCGTATCATTTGTTTAATCACAGGAGTTAGAGAGGCAGAAACATATGTGTAGTGTGCTGCAGCATAAAATGGATGAACTTAAAGAAGGCCTTCGACAAAGAGATGAGCTTATTGAGGTATGTGCATGAACTCTGGGAATACTTAATTTTGGAAAAAATACATTGAATGGGATGGGGTATGTGTTGAGAAGGAAGGGAGTTAAAATGCCACAGAGAGTTTACTACTTGTCTCTTCATATTTGGCTGTACCCTGCAATTTTACAAACATGAAACATAAAGGCAGGCTTAAACGATTAATATTAATATTAATATTAATGAACCCTATAAACATTCCCCCTTTTAATAATAGAAGCTTTTGTAATTGTCTTTTATTGCTAAATACATTCTTTCCTAAAGACATCTTAGGAAATGGGCAATGGGAAAGATTACAGAGTACCATCATTCTTTGGGACGTAGTAAAAGCTGTCTTTGGAACATGATTCTTGGGGAATAAGAAGCTTGATCTTCACTGAGATAGACATTTCTGAGGTGGCTAAATGAAAATAAGAAATTATTGAGGCCTCTTATGTGCAAAAAGGCAAAAGCTGGCCCATGCTGAGCTCAGCTTCCTGCTGGCAGAGGGACTCTGAGGGCCAGTGTTGGCAACCTTTTAGGAATGGGAAGCGGTGTGGGCCACCAAGGGAGCTTTGAAAGCATTTATCAACCTTCTGTGCCTCCTACCTCACATGCCATTTCTGTTTTTCTTTAATTGCGGTTTTTCCTTCTGAGGTGGTTGTTTTTCTAAGTATGGAGTTAAGTTTGTTGGTAAGGGATCCTGCCCACTAATCTTGGTGTGTTTATCAAGGAGGTCTAACATTAACTTAGTGTTGATGACATATGAGTAGTATCAGGAAGGCCACCTCTTAATGGTCTCTAGAAGATGCCTCAGTTACCACACTCACTCACCCACATCCCTGGTCACTCAGGCACCTTCACCTCCATCCACACCTACCTCCCACCTCTCTTTTTCCCTTCACCATGGAGGCACGTGTCTCACTTAATCTCTCTCCCTGTAAATGACTTCAAAAACCATTTAATGGAGGAAAATAAATGACTGTTTTTCTATATGTGGTTTTGTGTTACTTTCATTCTTGAGAATAATTGAATTGAAACTAGTGTGCTGAAAACAGGTAAAATTTGTGAATTCTAAATGCAGACAGATAACCTTTTGAAAATATCAAATTACATGGGAAGTTAGTTGTCTTAGCTTTTCCATATATGGCAAGAAGCACATTATCCAAATTCTGTTTCCTGCTGGTATTTAAAAAAGTGTGAGCTTCTCTCCCTTTCTGTCCTTTTGTGTTTTGTGTGTCAGTGTGCCAGCCACGTGTTATTTCTTTTTCTAATTAAGACACATACTTTTCCCCTTTTATGATTTCAAAAGAATAATAAACTGCTTTGGGCCCTCCTTCTCAAATTCAGTATCTTAAGTTAGAATCAGTCAAGTGTTCTAGTTTTTAATTTGATGATGGCATTCAAGAGGAATTGTAATGTGTGATTTCTGTAATTTGTCACTGTGGTTTCTTTAAAAGCCCAGGGTGCTGGGTATACAAACTTTAAAAATGTTAAATTAGTTTTAGGTGTTTCTTATATTTAGAATTAACATCTCTTAGATGTTAATATCCATATTTATGTATAACTGAAAAACATTGAGTATGACAAAACAGTGCTTTTTGGTCTGCAGAATTGCATGGTAAAGTAGGTAAGAAATGCATGAGTAAGAGATGATAATTTACCAGTAATGCATAGAAGAAAACCTGTTAAACATAAGAGGGCAATTGAGCATCATTGCCTAAACAGAAGAGTTCTTTAAGAATTACCAAATACTAAATTCTGGTTTTTCTGAACATCGATGTGAGTGTGTTCATTCATAATTCATGATGGTCTTTCTATAATCTATTCTGCTAACAGAAATTCAAAGTGATAAAACTAAGATATGTCTCTCTTGTATTTTTCTAGTTCTGCTTAAGAAAATAAAGTTTAAACTACTGCTTGTTCTTTATGATAAGAATCATAAACAAATCTGAATTTCCCTCTTTAGAAATGTAAGTTTTCCGTGTTTGGAAAACGGGCAGTTATCACAGGAAGAGTCTTCCTGTCCACATGTGGAGCAGTGTGTACACAGAAACCTGGCTGCTTGCAGCCGCATAGCTGTGGTTGGAACACTTATTCCCAGTCCCCTTACTTACTGTCTTAGCCGTGAGCCAATGAGTCGTGTTTCCAAGACACTGGATGTCATCTTTCCTTTTAGCTGGCAACTCCCGCTTTTCTTGTCACCGACATTCCCCCTTCACGTTTTTTTATCAGCTTGCTTTTGTTCTGTTTTGCTCCCTCCCCCCTTTTTCTTCTTGCTCTTTCATTACTTCTCTCCCTCTGCCTCTGCAGGAGAATCATCGTATGCAGCAGAAGGTAGACACCATGACAAAGGAGTTGTTTGAGCTGCAGGAGACACTTCTTTGGAAAGATAAAAGCATTAGGGTATGGGTGAAATTGGGCTTTGCTCCAAAGCTTATCGACGAGGAATAGACCAATATAATTTAACTTAGAGATGCCTAAAAGTCTGTCCTTTTGACTATTTTTAGCATTTATACAGTGAGAAATAAGCAGAAGACAGAAACTTCTGTGGGAAAACCTGATACTATGTGTGGAAAGAACTCTTCCTTCCAGCTGCCTCTGGGCTTGTGAAACCTACAATAGGAACTTTTAAGGAAGTTGCTCTTTATTTCTCCAGTATTCTTACCCAGTAGCGGCCACAGGCATTTAATTCAAGCTCTGTGGCTAACATTATATCCTTACATTGCAAGAATTTGGATAAGAGGCAAGAGGATAAGGAGTGGGGACCTCGGAGGGTTGTTAGCATTCCATAAATCCTTGGTTAGTAAAATAGGAAGAGATTAACATCAGTTTAGTTACGGAAGTGGGTAGGAATGTCATTTACCAGAGCTGCCAGATCGTGACGTCATCTCTAATTATAACCTCACAACTCCCCAGAGCAGGGGCCCAGATGAGGAAAAAGTCTTCCGTGCTTTTTTGCTAAGCCCTTGAGGTAGATTCCACGTACACAGTAGACTGAAAAGAGTTCCACCAGTTCATCCCGTGTGGCCTTTGGCAGCCCCGCCTCATGGCAGAAGCTATCTGTTCTGCAGTTGGGGTACCGCATAGCCATAGCTGCTGGAGGTATACCTTGTCAGGGAGGGGCTGTGGTGGGGGAATAGGTTAGGTGGGGTAGGGAAAGGTAGCAAAGATCCCCAAGAGCACTTAAAATAGACATGACATGACCCTCTGGATCACACCTCCATTGTTAGGGGTGGTCTAGTATCCAGTTTTTTCCACACATCCAGTGACCTTACCTTATCCTGTCATTAATGAACACATGGGAAACAAAATTACCTCTGAAGAGTTTGGTTAGACCAAAAGCTTTAAAGAAATAAAGCTACCTTTTAGAGTTCCTAATACTTAAATACCAAGTTTCTAAAGTTCTGCCCAAAACTAGAAGAGTCTTCTGGAGTATAAATTAACAACTCTGTTAACAGTTTGAAAATTGTGAGCTACCAACTTTATTTAAATTTTCACTTGAGAAATTTAAAATGAGGTGTGAAAAAATGTTTGGCACAGAGTAGGTAATTTGACAGTTTAGTTAAAATCTGGTCACTGTCTAGATGGGTTTCTTCTAGGAACTTACATAATTTTCTTTAGCACATATCTGCAAGCCCATAGTTTCTATTTTGTATAATTATTTCAGTATTTTAAACTTACTATTTTGAACCAGCCATAGAAAAACTCCAAACTCCTCAGTCCAATAAAATAGCTCTTCAAAATAAAACAAATTTTTTTCTTACCGAAAAGCTGAGCTGATGGTTAAGATATAAATTATTTGACTTTTAAATTTTCTTGGAATTATTAAATGAATAAGGAGGTATATTCTTTCTCTGTGGTATATAATAATGCATTCCTTTGGCTTTGTTAAAAATTAAACTTTTAAAACATTTTTGAAGTAATTGTAGATTCACCTGCAATTGTTAAAAATATACAAAGAGATCCTGTATGTCCTTTACCTAGTTTTTCCCAAATGTAACATCTTGCAAAACTATAGCACAATATGACAACCAGGACATTGACCTTGATTGATATAGTCAAGACACAGAACATTTTCATCACTATTATAAGGATCTTTCCAGTTGCCCTTTTACAGCCATATCTCTTACCTCCTCCACCCTGTTCCAAGCCCTGGTAACCACTAGTCTATAGATATTTCTGTAATTTTGCCATTTTAAGAATGTTATATAAATGGAATTGTACAATATATAACCTTTTGGAATTACCTACTTTCAGCATAATTCCCTTGAGATTCATCCAAGTTGTTGCACGTATCAATAGTTTGTCCCTTCTTTGACATTAAAAAAAATTTAAAACCTGTGGTAAAGTACAAATAATGTAAACTTTACTATTTTTAGGTGTAGAGTTAGTTGGTGGTATTAAGTACATTCACATTGTTGTGCTCCTGTCACCACCATCTAGCCACAGAACTCTTTTTGTCTTGTAGAAATGAAACTCTATATCCATTAAATTACAACTCCCCCAAAACCCACCCCTCCCTCCAGCCCCTGGCAACTACCATTCTACTTTCTGTCTCTGAATTTGACTCTAGGTGTCTCATATAAGTGGAATCAGACAATATTTGTCTTTTTGTGACTCGCTTATTTCACTTAGCATATATCCTCAAAGTTCATCCATGTTGTAGCATGTGTCAGATGTCCTTTTTAAGACAGTAATGCTCCATTGTATGTATATACCAGATTTTGTTTATCCAATCATCTGTTGATAGACAGTTGGTTTGCTTTCACCTTTTGGCTGTTTCAAATAATGCTGCTGTGAACATGAGTTTGTAAATATATTTTTGTGACCCTTTTTTCATTTCTTTTGGGAATATACCTGTGAGTGGAATTGCTGCGTAAAATGGCAGTTCTATGTTTAATTTTTTGAGGAACCACCATATTATGTTCCATAGCAGCTGCACCGGTTTATGTTGCCATCAGCTTGGCACAAGTGTTCCAGCTTCTCCACATCCTTACCAACATTTGTTTTCTATTTTGTTGGTGGTAGCCATTCCAATGCGTGTGATGTGGTCCTCCCTTGACTAATAAAGCCACTTCCAACATGGCCAGTGACTACCTACTGCACTCATCTCTAGCTTCATTTTCAAGATTTAAAGTTAGTAACTTCATGAAGGAGCATGGCCATTATTCTCATATTAAAGTTCAGTTTTCTTTAGTTCTTCCTTCACTGATCCTAGTGCTCATGCCTTTATCCCCAAGGCTGTTCCAAGCACCAGGTGACCATGTGTAGAATAGATACATATGAAGCGCTTATATATCTGTATAGCCCAGTATAGGACTCACTCCCATTCTGACTAAAGATATTTGTGCCACTGTGCAATTATATAGAGTTAAGCTGTTGCCCAAAGTTCAGCCTGTTATACATATCTTTCAGGCTTCTTGACACTAGAATTTGAGGTTAGGTCAGGGATAAAGAATTATTTAGATCACCACAAGCATGTACTTGACCCCTGAAAAAAATTTACCGTAGGAGCTATTATTGAATGGAAACACAAGGGCAGTGGTTATACGGTCAGGTAATACAGAGGGTTTCAGATGCAGCATGAATACATTTACTCCAATTATAAGGTATTTCAGTTCTCTTCAAACTTTGTGGTGAAACTGGAGAACTTAACAGGATGTATTTTATTTTCCCATCCCTAATTATGGGAAGATGAAATTAAAAAGTCCAAAAGTAAAGATAAAGTCCACTGCCGTAAGATGTGGGAGAGGAGCAAATGGCATGCTCACGCATTCGCTGGAATTCCTAGTTTCACGTGGGTCGGTTCCTGAGAGAGCTTTTCTGTTCGGTGGTGGTATTTACATGGATCATGTTGTGACCGTGATCACTGATGCAGTTACGTATGCTGATGCACGGCTTACCTCTGCATGCAGACACCAGTAACCAAAAACATCTAACCCAGCGACTGTCGATGGACAGGAGAGTATTGCTTGTGCTGTGTTGTCGTAGTCGCACACTTGCCATTAATGTAATGGAGTGTTAATGTTAGCTTGAAGTGTTAGAGTAATGCCTTATGATATGAGAAACATACTAATTCACAGGCAGACTTGAGCCATGGCATACGGTGTCAGTTGTTGAAAGAAAGATATTGATGTTGCAGTTTGGGTAAGGGAGGAGTAGGACTTGCCCCGTGGACTACTTTTCCAGAAGCATCTGGGACGACAGTAAGAGAACATAATTGTGGCCTTTGTGGTGCTGCCACATAGGAAAAGTATGCAAGGGCTTCAGAAACAAAAAGAATTGGATTCATTTTCTAGCTTTGCCACTTACTCTGACTTTGGGCAAAAAAATATATAACTTCTCTGAGCCTCAGTTTTCTGATCCGTGAAATGGGGATAAGACAAAAGACAGGGTACGTAAGGGAGAAATTATATATATAAAGGCATAATTATATGTATATATAACAGTGCCTACCATATAGTTGGAGCTACGCAAATGGTAGTTGCTCTCTTTCCTTACTTACTCCCAGTTTGGTTGTAGAATATGATTGTAATGGTTTCAAAAATTGTCCAACTACTCAGCAACCAGTTACTAAGCAGTTAGCCACCCCAATAAACTGAGAGGAAAGTGACCTGTTGTAGTTGAACTTCTTGGGTTAATGGGAATGTTGGCAGAAAACATTAAATATATGAACAAATGGGTAGAGAAAGGCCCAGCTGTCAGGTCCCTGAATAGACTGCCTAACTTGGGTATGTTTTGAGGTCTGGGCTATTTGATTACATAGAGTAGATTTGATTTGCTACTGATGACCAAAGTGTGTTCCTGCTTCTGCACTGCCCCTCAGCTCTGACAGCTGTGGGTTTCAGGCTGTGGCAGGGAAAATGCAAAGAGAAGCACCAGCTGGCTTCTCCAGAGCCCTCCCTGTTATCTCATGCACAGCAGGTGAGGCTTTACACTGACCACCCCTTTAAGCCTGTGCCCACCTGATGGGTGCTGCTATTACCCCTGCCCCTTTTTCAGATGAGGGAACTGAGGCATAGACAAGTTACTATGTGCCAGGACTCAAAAGTCAGATTCCAAAAACCATATTTGCTACCCACTATAGGTGGGCTGTATTTGTCACTTTTTTTTTTCACATTTTGAAAGCATATCAGGCCTGGCCAGGCATGGCTCAGTGATTGAGCATTGACCTAGGATCCAGGAGATCGCAGTTCAATTCCTGGTCAGGGCACATGCTGGGGTTGTAGGCTCGATCCCCAGTCCAGGGCGTGCAGGAGGCAGCTGATCAATGACTCTCTCATCATTATGTTTCTTTCTATCTCTCCCTCTCCCTTCCTCTCTGAAATCAATAAAGATATATTTTTTTTAAAAAAGTATATCAGAAAACCAAATTACTCTTAATTGTATTTAATTAAATTAACAAAATAAGTTCTCGAGAATTCCTTTGAATATTAGCTTTTTAAAAAAATTTTTAATTTTTAAATACATTTTTATTGATTTCAGAGAGTGAGAGGGAGAGAGAGAGAAATATCAATGAGAGAGTCATTTATCGCCTGCCTCCTGCACGCCCCCCACTGGGGATGGAGCCTGCAGCCCAGGCATGTGCCCTGACCGGGAACTGAACCTCGATCTCCTGGATCCTAGGCCAATGCTCAGCCGCTGAGCCATGCTGGCCGGACATAACTAGCTATTTTTAATGAAGCAGTATTTGAGGAATGTTTTGCCATACTACTTGGAGAAAAGTCACTACAGCCTATATTTAATGAAAATACATTGTGTATACTGGTCATTTCTCTTGTAGAACTTTTTTTCTTCCCTCAAAAAAGGTCAAGTGTATTTTTGAATAAACTATTTTAGTTGAAATGGGGGGGTTTTGTTTGTTTGATTGATTCACCAAATAAAAACGTACTAAGGAGACAGTAAGGTCAACTTTATTTTAATATTACTGCTGCCTTCATTTTCCATTTCCTGTTTCTTTCATTGACTGGAAAAGAAAGATTTGCTTTCCTGCCTGATGTGATAAGCACGCTTGTCGAATTTGTGCACGATTAACCAGTTGCATTTAAAACTCCCTCTGCAGATGAATATCCATATAACTTTGTATTTCCTCCCATCTCTAACTACTCGTTTCCAAGCTTCTAAATGCTGCCTTGTCTTTTATGCCTTTATCTTGATTCGATTCAGGTACTTCTCTGCTCCCTTTCACTTGCTTTTTTTTCTGTGCCGTTCTTTCCCTCACTACCTGTCTAAAACCAGGCCCTAGAGAAACAGAAGGAGTACATTGCCTGCCTTAGGAATGAGCGAGATATGCTCAGAGAGGAGCTGGCTGACCTGAAGGAGACGGTGAAGACAGGAGAGGTATGTTAATTAGCCTACAGCTCATGTCCTTCAGCGCTTTCTCCTTCCTTTCGTCTGTCATCTTTCCTGGCATGCGTACACACCACAGCAATTGCACTTCAACCCACATTTGTTAGGTTTAAGTCATTTCTACAGAGCTGTATTGTGTGTAACTGGCTCTCACCAGGTTTTACCTGTGGCAGACCTGTTGTCACAGAGCATACTGCCTCCATGTGGGCCGTCTTTTTGATGGTGGGTTTTTTTCCTTCCCCACAGAAACATGGCTTAGTTATAATCCCCGACGGCACTCCCAATGGTGATGTTAATCATGAGCCAGTGGTTGGAGCCATCACTGTGGTGTCTCAGGAAGCTGCTCAGGTCTTGGAGTCTGCAGGAGAAGGTCCTCTAGGTAAGACATTGGTTGCTATGTTACTTGGATTAATGTGACCCTATTAGACTTCCAGCTTGTTCATATCTCATCTTGGAAAACAAAAACAACACAAGGGCTGAGTCTTATCTAGGTCCTTAACAGGAAGAAATCTGGGCACAGTGTCTTCAGACATCTTGACCTTGGGAAACCAGCATTTGGGTCATTGTAAGTCCCTTGGGTGGAAGCACTGTGGGTATACACACATTGCTTTTTCACTTAGAGATAGCACATTGCTTTTGCAATGAAATAAAAACCTGCGTCTCAGGGATCCAGTGGGCTGGTAGGCCACTTTCCAAGTATGATCTTCCTGGAGCATCTGGTTCTGTGTTCTGCTACTTATCCCAGGGTTCTTATAGCTCTTTGCAACCTCATTTCTTAAGGCAGGAAACAGATGACCAAGAAGGTAGATATTAGTGTTACTTCCAGAGCAGGGCTTCTGAGCCTCGTAAAGTCTAAACCTCTTAAATTTAACCCTTTGAGAATCTAGTGACACCTCTCTCAGGAAACCACACAGGTGCCCACCAATGGCCTCCTCTAAGAACCCTGCTGTACAGGAGGAAAATGACACAGATAGTTACTGTATCATCAGCTTACTTTTATTTATTTAAAAAATAATCTTGCCCGGCTGATGTGGCTCAGCGGTTGAACATCAACGTATGATCTAGGAGTCTGAGGTTCAATTCCTGGTCAGGGCACATGCCTAGGTTGGGGGCTCGATCCCCAGTAGGGGGCATGCAGGAGGCAGCGAATCAATGACACTGTCATCATTGATGTTTCTGTCTTTCTCTCCTCCCTCTCCCTTTCTGTCTCTGAAATCAATTAAGATATATTTTAAAAAATAAATTAATTTTAAAAATCATCTTTTTCATCTTGTTTTCATAGATGTGTAGGTTTCCTAGAAGAGTAGGCTATTAGAGTGGAGGAAGTAAAAAAAAAACTCTTCAAAAGTTAGGGAGCACAGTCTCTAGTGTCAGAATTACAGAAATGTAGTTGTAAAGCACTTTGATGAAGCAGTAGATGCTAGCTAGGTGAGTGGAGCTGCTCTAGAGAATGGACTGAATGTGCAGCTCTGGCAGCTTAGAGCATCTGTGCTTGTTTGGAAGGTGCTGAAGAAACTGGAGCTTATATTTAGCTCTGACCCTGATTGGTTGTAGTGGCTGCTGGCTGGGTTTCAGCTGCTGCTTTTACTTATCTGCTGGTATCCATCCCCTCAGCCCAAGGGTCCGATATTAATACGTATGCTTGGGAACAAGTAGCCCCTCCCTCCAGGTCAGGAGTGGTCCCAATGATCCTGCTGCGAGACTGAGTAGCCTTTGATGGCTCACATTTTAGAGCTGGTCCCCTTCCCTCCCCCCACTAGCTTTTGTGGGCCTTCACTTCTTCCAGCATTGTGTTCCTCTGTCCTTATTTATTTATTTTTTTTAATGTATCTTATTGATTTCAGAGAGGAGGGGAGAGGGAGAGAGAGAAACATCAGTGATGAGAGAGTCATTGATGGGCTACTTCTTGCATGCCCCCAACTGGGAATCGAGCCCACAACCCTGCATGTGCCCTGACCGGAATCGAACCTCGATCTCCTGGATCCTAGATTGACTCTCAGCCGCTGCACTGTGCCTGGCCGGGCCCTCTGTCTTCTCTGATCCAGCTTCTCCTCTCAGTCCCACTCTTAACCCCTGTCTTCTGTCCCATATTTCGTTTTCTCCTGCTAAGGGCTTAGTTAAGCCTGTGGGAGCACCCTTGGCGTGTGAGTTGTATGTGTACTAGTGAGAGCTGCAAAGTTTTGAATCAGGGAAATGATCTTTGCACTTCAGTTTGTCTTTAAGTGGAAAATCACTGCTCTTGGGAGCAAATATATTTAGTGCCCTGATAAATATCAGTTGTGTGGAAATATGTGTTGAGTAATGAAGTACTTTTCCTAACACCATTAAACCTTCATGTCTTGATAGAGCTGTAAGTTTATTGGATAATGTTTGCTATTTAATTTGTAGAATTATTTTTAATTGTTTATATACTACATCATTACAAATTTAGTTTACAGCCTTTTTTGTTTGTTTTAGATGTAAGGCTACGAAAACTTGCTGGAGAAAAGGAAGAGCTGCTATCACAGGTAAAGGCTTTCTTCTCATTGGAAGGTAATGTTAATTGTAACTGACTGAATCACATGGTGAAATGTTAGCAAACTAATGCACACTAGAAAGAGATGTGCTTATTTTAAATATCAGCACTCAAGTCAGATTTGAAGGATAAAAGGAATTCACATTTTACCTCTTTGTTGTTTCCTATTCTTTGAAAACATTTATAGGACACATAGTTTGAGGGTCAGACTGTTCTCCAAAGTTGTTATGAAGACAGAAGTGCTCGGCCCTGCCTCCCACCCTTACCCCCGACCATTCCTACTTGGTGCTTTTAGCTGATTCATTTGGTGTGTACTGTTCTTGTTTATTTGTGTATAACATGCTTATGTTGCTTCTCGATTGTTCTGTTTTTGGCATTCTCTGTTGCCTTCCATCTATGGAAGGTGAGCACTTAGCTTTCTTTCATCCCCTGTCCGTACCACACACGCATACTTCCCATCCCCACGACTGCCTCTCCTCTCTTCCATGACTCTTTGATTCCCCCAAAGTTAATATTGTACTGTTCCTTTCAGTTGCTTGCTTTTCTGTGTGTTTATTACTAATTTAGCTGCAGACTTTCCAACAGCAGTTTAAGTCCTCTCAGTGTTTTCAGATGCACGAAGTCTTCTCTCGGTCCCATCCTTTGATTTGTGGAGCCTCACATTCATCCGTTCTGGACTTCCCGGCACACTCCTGCAGTTCAGAGACCTGCCGCCCTTCATCCCCTTCTGGGCTTTCCCCCACTTGTAGTGTAGGTCGCCTTTCCTCTCCGCAGTCTCACACCTCCCTCCTTTGTGTTCATTCTCCTATTTTGGTACATCTCCCAGTAACTTCCTGAGAGCAGGGTGTGTGGGCCTGAAAGTGTCTTCAGAGTACCCTCTTAGCTGATTGAACAGTTGGGTATAGAATTCTGTGTTATAATTGTTGTCCTTCATCTTTTTTTTGTTTTAAAGAAATTGCTTTATTGTCTTCTGGCTTCTACTTTTGGCTGTTGAAAATTTCAAGGACATTTTATTTTTGATCTTTTGTATGTGACCCTTTTTCCTCTCTCTAGAATCTTACGTCATACTCTTTCTTCATAGTGTTCTGGAATTTCACAGTGATGGAGTTTGGAGTTTTCATGCATGTGTGGGGCTCTGTCAATTGTAGGAATTCCTATCTTTCAATTCTGGGAAAATGTCCTGAGTGAAACTCCTGTTGAGTCATTCAAATGTTAAATGAGATTCCACTATGTAACAGGCACTATTCTAGGCATTTGGGATATTTCAGTGAAGAAATCAGTTAAAATTCCTGCCCCAGTGGACCTTATGTTCTAGTGGTAGGAGACCAGGCAGTAAACAACAAATATAACTAACAAGTAGATTGTATGGTATGTTAGAGGTTTCTGTGAATGCATTTATTGTGTTTCTCCATCCTCATTAAGCTGCATCGGTGCAGACATGGAATGGGCAGAGTTAGCTTTTACCAGGCGAGTAGAATGGGCAGAGGAGGTGCGGGTGTGTGCAAGAGAGTGTTGATGGACCTGGATTAACCTGGAAAGGAGGTTTGAGGGGACATCTGGGAAGCTCAAGACACAGTGGAAAGAACTGAGACCCATGAATTACAGGTACCATTGGGACCAAAGGTCTTTTGGAATTGGGGCCCAAAGAGAATGAGCCAGAAAGATCTGGAATAGCAGTTAGAAGATATGTGGATCAGATGTATGTAGGGATTGCAGTTATCTAATGATAATATATAGTACATGACTGTGGGAGTGGCTGAGGCCAAGAAAAGACAGACGGCAAAGATTCTTGGAGAGGAGGTGTTCCAGGAAACTGAGATCAGTTGCAGGAGAAATCTTCTACTTAGATATATTTTGAAATTGCCAAGAATTAAGACAGGAATAGTTTTGAGGGAGTGTGAGACAGGAGCTAAAACAATGAAGAGAGAATGGGATGATGGCAGTGATGAGGGGTAGTTAGTATACATAATTTGAAGAGATAAGATTACAAACTGGGAGTTTGGGGAGGCTAGAGGGAGACAAGTTTGGCAACTGCAAGGAAAGCAAAAGGACACCATTCCATTTTCAGGCTCAGCAGTAGGAGGACTGTGGGAGAAATAAAGGGCTCTGGGAGTACTTTAGAGGGCTGCAGAGGAAGCAAGATCCTACTAGAGCACTAGGGTAAAGGGAGTGCTCAGAGAAGAGATCGAGGATCAGGGGGTTGCTGGTGATAGAATGGGCACAGGGGAAGAGTTTCAGGATTTGGGAAAGATTAGGAGGTGAAGACAGGGAAGGGGTTGTGCAGAACCCTTTGGGAAGAGTGCCGGAGAAGGTATGACCCTTTTTGAGCTGGACAGAATGATGGTGATACTGGGATTAGTCTCAGTTCACTCAAGGCAAATAGTCGTGATGACTGTATGTGTGTTGCAAGGGCAGAAGTGCCTGGGAAGCATGGCTGTAATCCCAGTGTTGAGCTTGCCTTTTCCTCAATAGAGGAGTGGCAAATTTGTTCCTAGTGCTCAGGCTTCCCCTTGACCCCTGTTGTTGGAGTTGAGGATATAGTTGGGGAAGCGACATGGAACTCTGAGCATGCAGACTCACCCTTGACCCTTGATGAAGGATAAAGAAGGCATGGGGAGGCTGTGTCTCAGTCCAGAGGCACCTCCCCTTGTGTGTGTGGGTGGGCAGATTGGCTCTGAATTGTGCTTGCTGTGATGATAAGAGTTGTAGGCATTTAGGGAGACATGACTGATTTCTGAAGGAGAGGGCATGAGACCTCTGGCAGCGATGCTCTGATTGCTTGTTTCTCTCCTGTTTTCCCATTTCTTTTTGTTTCTTGTTTTACTTCTAAAAGTTTGTCAACTTTATGTTCTAATACTTTTGTTGAGTTTCTATTTCTGCAGTCATTTCAAGGGTGTACATAGTTTCACTTATCTCAGAGGACATTGATAGGCTGGTTGGCTTGTTTTCTTCTGTCTGCAGTTTGTTTCCTTCCAGTTGCTCTTATGTATATTTATTCGGTCTTCAGTGTAAGAGCTGGATACTTAAAAGCTGATGGGCAGCTCTGAGGAAATGGGTGAGGCTTATCCAAGTTTTTGTGAAGATTGATGTGGCTGGGTGTTTTGTTGGGAACTTCAATGTGGGAATGTCGGTCTTTTATTTTAGGCTAGTCAGAGTTCTAAAGATATCCTCCAGTCTTCTGCCTGAGGGTGCAGGCCCAGATGTCTGTGTTCTGGGACCTGAGTGTACACTAGAGGCCTCAGAATTCAGTGCATTTCTGTTCCCCTAATCTCCTTGTTTTCCACACCTGGGGCTCCTTTCTCCACTGAGCCTTGTTTTTTCAACAACACAAAGTCCATTTTAATTTTAATTTTTAGTTTATTTTTCAAATTTAAAAATCCCCAGCCTTATTAGGGTATACTTTGTGTAGAATAAGCTGCACATAGTTAAAGTGTACAAATGTACGCACCTGTATTATTTTCCTAGGGCTGTCATGATAAACTACCACAAACTGGGTGGTTGGAACCACAGAAATGTATCGTCTTACCGTTCTGGAGATCAGAGGCCCTAGATCAAGGTGCTAGCACTGTGTTGGTTCCTTCTGAGGCTGGAGAAGGGCAGTCTGCCCCATGCTTCTCTTCTGGCTTCTGGTGGTTCGCTGGTCATCTTTGGCATGTTTTGGCTCATAGATAGCATTCTCTGTGTCTTCACATTGTCATCTCTCTGCATGTGTCTATCTCTCCATCGAGATCTTTTACAAAGGCACCAGCCACATTGGATTAGGCTTCCTCCCTGTTCCATACAACCACATCCCAGCTTAACTCTGTGTCTGCGGTGACTATCTCCTAAGGAGGTCATATTCTGAGGGTTTCAGCTCAAGAACTAGTGGCGGGGAGGACAGAACTCAGCTCATAGCACTACCTGTGAAATGGCCACCAACCAAGGTGCTGAAAATACAGCGCCCAGTGTCTCTGTGCCCTTTGTAGACCTCCCATCCTGCACCTCCCTCTCCCCTCTCCAGGCAACCGCTGACCTGCTTCTGCCACTCTAGATTAGTTTGCACTGTCTGGAGTTTTATCTAACTGGAATGCGTCTTTCACATACTTATGAGATTCAGCCATGTTGTTGTGGTGTTCCGTTGCACTTCCCCCTTCTTTTGCTGAGTAATGATCCCGTTGTATAGCTGTGCTGTGGTTTGTGTACCCTCCTGTTGACGGACACCTGTATTATTTTTAGTTTTGGCTGACATGAATTAGCTACTCTAAACGTACTTTAAAAATGTATTTCTAATTATCTCTGCATACAGAAAATTTTCTAAATAAGAATATTTAACACATTGTTTGTGGGTAGTTTTTATTGCTCGCTCTACCAGTCAACGTAAAACGTATAAATACGTTTCCTGCATACAATGTGTTAACCTACCTCTAAAACAAAACAAAAACATCTAACTGCTAGTAGAATTTCCATTTTTAATAAAAGGAACAAAAAATACTGAAAAGTGGTGTTCCAAAATCCCACTCACATAATAAAATACAACTATTTTTATGTGTCACCTGGTCCTGAAGCTCATTCCTTTTGTTGTTTGTTCACAGCTTCCCCTAGCACCTCTAGCAGTGTGTCCCCATGGTGGGCACTCAAGGAAATTGCTTCTGAATGAATGATGTGTGTGGCTGATGAAGGTCTGCCTTCTTCTATGACATGGCCGTTGGGCCAGTCGTCTGCCTGTTTTGACAAACTGGATCTTGCTGAGAAGCCTTTGTTTCTCCTGCAGGTTAGAAAACTGAAGCTGCAGGTTGAGGAAGAGCGGCAGAAATGCTTCAGGGGTGACAGCACGGTGGCTGGTGACCTGGCCGGATTGCAAAATGGCTCCGACTTGCAGTTCATCGAAATGCAGAGTAAGTGCTGAGGGATAGGACAGTCCCAGTCTGTATGGGCCGTGTCCTAGAGGTGGGATTGTAAACTCACTGCTGGTGTCTTATAATTCACATTTCTTAAGAGGAGCTGTTACAAAGATGGGTTAGTCTGCAGGTTGTCTGGAAGAACAGTCCTGGTCAGTGATGGAGCCAAGTAGAAACTTCTGCTAGCCTGTGTGCTTCAGGGATGAGAGCATTTTGCACATAGTGACATCCTCACACTGCCTTCTTCCATACCCACGTCAACCTGAAGCTCCCATGTAGCACCCTTCCTACCTAAAATTTTTTTGTGGAATTTATCTTGGAATAATTGGAGGGGCATATTTGGAACTAACTCACACTAACGTTGAGTAGTTTCAGAATCTTCTTTGTTTTCTTGTTAACTCTAATTTTTATTAGATGGAATTTAAAACAAGGCCACAACAAAAGCAGGCAGCTCCTTTGCACCAGAAAGCCAGGAAAGGAGTCCTGCACCTGGACACTGCCTTGGCTGTAAAGCATGGTGTTTGGAATGGAATTTCAAACACAGATGAAATGGCTGAGACAAAGGACATAGACTTTTGAAAACAGGGAGGAATGGGTGGTTTGAGAGTGAGAAGGAAGCAGCACATTTTGATCACACGTTTCTGGGGTGAAGAATTAAAAACTAGATCCTGAAGCTTCTGTTTCAGAGCCCAGGATAGATCCTTCTCTCTGACGCCCAGGGGTGGCTTTTGGGGAGAGGGTTTTATAACCTCATGGCTTTAGGGTCATAGTAACCATCCAGTTAGCACAGCCTCTGGCATTGAAGATTATGTAGGTGGTTGTAACCTAGCTGTGTGGGACAGCACAGAAGTTCTTGAGTTAGGTGGATTCTTTGGATTACAATTCCCACCCTGCAATCATTTCGGAGCACTCTGGTCCACTTTGCCTTGCTGGAGAGCTTTTTCTCCCCCATCACTTGTAAACTTCTCTCTTTAATGTTTTTATTCTCCCCCAAGGAGAATTTTTCCACTGCTTTCAGAGAGAGTGGAAGGGAGGGAGGGAGAGGGAAACAGATGTGAGAGAGACGTCGACTGGTCATCTCCCGCAGGTGCCCCAACCAGGGCTGGGGACCGAGCCTGCAGCCGAGGTTTGTGCGCTTGACTGGAACTGAACCCAAGACCCTTCAGTCCACGGGCCGATGCTCTAAGAATCACTGAGCCAGACTGGCTAAAGATAAACTTATTTTAAATTATTTCCGTCTTGGGTCAAATATATATCTACTGATTTATATATCTCTACCCATACCACATGACCACATTATTGAAAAGCATTTATTTCAGCAAATATTTATGAAGCATGCACTATATACAAAGCACTTGGCTAGATACAGAAGTGGGTTCAAGAAGGCTAGACAGGGCCTCTGTCCTTATATACATATGTAATGTTAAGAAAGCATGATAAATACTATAAAAGAATGCAAACAAAATACAAGAGAAAGAGAAGTTATAGTTAACTGAGAGTCATGAAGGAGGTGAAAATGGAGCATAACCTTGGAGGTTGGTTAAGACTTAAATCAGAGGTGGGGAACAAGGGCCACTTGAGGTATGGGAGAGCAGAAGGACTGAGAGGTGGGAAGGTGCAGGGCTAGGGGCTGGGAAGCCGGAGGGCCTAGTCCTGTGAGCACAGGCTCCCTGGGCCATAGGGCTGCAGAGAAGGCTGGCTGACTGGGCTCCTTGCTCAACACTCTGCCTACAGACATCATGGGGTGAAGAGTGAGTTTTCTTCTAACCCCTGACCCAAGGGATGCTGTTGTAACACATGTGCTAGAGCTTCTCGTAGTATCCACAGTTCCAGAGGTTGGGCTGCCCTAGTACCATGGTCGCCCCATGTGCATTTGCTTTGTCCTGTTAGACCCCACAGTGCTCCCTCTCCTGTGCTGCAGAGGGTGTCATTGCCTGATGGGTCACACCTTCACCTCTGAGAGGTGATTCATTTATTCTCTTCTGTTCTAGGGGATGCTAATAGACAAATTAGTGAATACAAGTTTAAGCTTTCAAAAGCAGAACAGGATATAACCACCTTGGAGCAAAGTGTAAGTACTTTTTCTAATGGTGCCTAGTGATTTAAATTCCCTTAAAACACATCTGCTTCCTGCTTCTAGGTGGCTAACCCATGGGTGCCTAGGCTCCTTTGGGCTGCCTGTATACACTTGGATCTCTAGAAAAGCTCTATGTTAAAGTGGAAAAGCCAGCAGAGAACACCTGGCAGGGTATATCCGCCTTCTGTTTTCTGTAAAAATACAGAAAACTTTAGCTATAATTTTAGTTTTTGTATATATTTCATGAGAATTCAGGAAGATCGTAGTTTATAACAAAATGCCTTATTGCACATTTGAAAACGTCTAGTATCTTTTCCATTTAGTGTCTCCTCCTGCATTGTTACTTTGGTGCTTAAACAATATGGTCATCATAAAACTTACCATGGGAAATTGGCCCTGTAATGATTCTACAGCTGTAATCCTTTGGGGACCTTTCTTGATTTATAAATAGCAGTTGAGTTCTGAGAGGACCTATGACTCACCCTAAGGCGACTTGTGTTAGATTACTTGGAATTTTAATGACATTGTATTTCCATCTAGGCTGCAAAAAAGTGATTGTTCCTAGTGCCCAATACCAGAGGCTTGTGTTCTCATATTTACAGATTAGCCGGCTTGAGGGACAGGTGCTGAGATATAAAACTGCTGCTGAGAATGCTGAGAAAGTGGAAGATGAACTGAAAGCAGAAAAAAGGAAGCTACAACGAGAGGTACTTGTTTTAATATGCTTCCTGGAAAACATTCCTAAAAACGAAGAAGTCCTTTGGAAACAAATTCTTTGTTGCATAAGGAATATGATCCAGGGTCCAATCTGAAGGAAACAGCGGTAGAGTCACTTACTCTTTGTGTTGGTGTTTGACCTGTACAGTGACTGCCATTTCCTTTTATGTTTTGATCAGTTAGATAAGAAGAAAAGGAATACTTTTAATTTTTGTTCTAGATGAGGTCTATTTCTCCAACTTCTGTAGGTCCTGTCTATGATTAATGCTCAGCACCATTGTTTTACATCAGTCAGTAACTGACTGGAAAAAAAATTAGGCTGTGGGATCCTATGCAAGCCCATCACAGCCAGCAGTGCGTCCATGTCCCAGAAAGTTGGAAATAAAGTAGCACTTGGTTTTGTTTTTGACCCTGTGAAATGACCGAGTTCTCCCTGTCTCCAGTTACGAACAGCACTGGACAAGATTGAGGAGATGGAGATGACCAACAGCCACCTGGCCAAGCGGCTGGAGAAGATGAAGGCCAACAGGACAGCACTTCTGGCCCAGCAATAAGAACGCCACCCGTCTACCTGGCTGCTCTCCTGGGCCCCACCCAGAGGGACTGACTTCTGTCCGTTGACAAACCCCTTTCAGTACTGTTTGAGTTTTGTCGTTAATATAGCCACCTTTGTATTTTATAATTTATGAGAGAATGAAATAGGTTTGAATCTTCATGAATGAACACTTTGGATTTTGTTTGTAGTTTAATTCTAGGCTAAGAACTGGTCCATGCTGGTTTTTTTTTTGTNAAGAACTGGTCCATGCTGGGTTTTTTTTGTTTTTTTATTCCCGTAATTTTAGAATCAAATTTACTCACCATTTGCCCCCAGCTTCCTCAGTGACTGGGCACTCGGAGGCCTCTGCCCGGGTTGTGGAGGACAGCAATTCTGAGTGCTCACTGAGCTACTTGCTGGAGACCTCAGAGAAAACACAAGTGCCTTCTCCACAGTGCAATTCAGACTTCAGTGATCTCCAGTGGTCAAAGCATGCCCTTCATGTCAGATAGCATTTATATTTTAGTGAAGAAACAAGTTCACAGGTGGGGAATATATGTTTCACTAAAATTTATATGTTTGGAGGAAAAAGCCTTTTTTGTAAAATATTTAAATTTATATAAGAAAATGTTAGAAAAAGATATGGGGAGTGTATATAAAACTTGCTTTATTGCATGGGGCAGGGAAATCCAGGTCCCAGTACTCTTAAAGTAAGAGTAGGGTCCTTAGTCTTCAACATCAACTGTGCTGTATCTTTTAAGGTATTTCATCTGCTGCTGCTTTGTG